AGCTTGCCCAGGACAGGCCTCCAGAATGTTCTTTGGAAGGGACGAAAGTTGAGGAAGGCAGGCCCCTGAGGCCGCTGGGCTGTCTGCTGCTGGGTGGCCAGGATTTGGGATTGACAGAGGTCTGACCGCCTCCAGGCCTGGGGTCTCCTAGGGGAGATGCTCTCCACAGGGGGTGGTCGAACTCTGTCCCCTGGTGAGTGGGAGAGCTGCAGGGGTGCGGGTCCCCCTCTTGGGGAGCCAGTGGGTACCCTCCCATCTCCTCCAATCAGAGCAGCTCCAAGAAAAGATTTCATTTGAAAACCTGCCAGAAGCATGCTCAAAGCTACAGAGCCATGGTCCACCCTCCTGGTTGGCGGCCCCCCCCCCCCCCGCCCCCGCCAGCTCCCTCCGGGCTTAGATGAGATCCTCCCAGTGACGAGTCTTCAAAACTACAACCCGAGTTTCCTGGAGAGCTCACTGGCTCTGTGCTGGGCGCTTCGTGCAAATTAACACATGGCCTCCTCCTGATGCCTCCAGGAGACCCACATGGACAGGTGGGGAAACTGAGGCTCACCGAGGTCTCGCGGCGGAGGAGCAGCAGGGCTGGGATTTGAACGCAGGCTGTCTGGCTCCAGAGCCCCTAGTCTACACAGGAGGCTCCCCGCGGTGGCCCCTTCTGAGGCACAATAAGGACCATAAAAAGGAAAACGGTTCTCCCACAGGACCAGAGGACCGGATGGCCGCTGATTAACCTTTACTCTTCTGGACTGGTGTTTCTATCACTCCTTACAGGTGCAAACATGCATTTTTTTTAAAAACATGGATCAGTCCTTTCCCTCTTGGGCAGCAGACAGTGCTGAAGCCGTCCCACCCAAGGAGTTAGCGGGAGCGGGTGGGGGCCGGCCCAAGGCTCTGGCGCCTCAGCCCTGCAGACTAGGGTATGCTGGGGCTTCTTAGGGTCTCCATCCCGCTGTTCACTCCTGCAGGGGGAGCAGCTGGGCCTGTCTCTCTTTCTCCACCCTTGGCTTTCCCTCTCGCCCCTCCACCCTTGCTGCAGGTCCCTCACTGTTCCCTCCTCTCCAGCCCTCCCCCGCCAAGGGCTGGCCAACCTCCACGCACTGCCCTGCCCCCACCTTCTCCCAGCCCTCCTGGAGGACGGGCCCATTTTATGGATGGATAAACAGAGGATCCTGGAAGCTAAGGGAAGTGCCCAGGACTCGAGTGCTAGAGACACTCCTTAATCCAGGCCTTTCTGGTCCTCCCCGCCTGGCAGGGGGTGAGTACAAGGACCAAAGAGACCAAATGCCTCTCAGATAGGATTCCATTCCATCAGTGATCTCCCTTCCCAGGTCTTTCTTTAGATCTCGGGAGACAGAGAGTATTTAATTTGGAAAAATCACGCCTTTCCCCTTCGGTGTTTTGAACGGCCGATATTTAAATACCTTCATAGTTTCGGGGCATTTGGGCGTGGATTCTGGAATTTGTGAATTAATGTGAACCGGTGTGTTTGTGAGTGACCTTTAAGCCTCGAGCCGCCTGTTCCCGTAGCTGGATGGGTCATTCTCCAGAGCCTGCGTCCCCAGGCTTAGCTACCAGGGATGATCCAAAAAGAGCGGGACAATTCTAATTCCCGTAATGAGATCAGAGGCTCCTGGTTAGTACTTAATTCAGAGTGGGCGTCAGAGGAGCTCAGCGGGGCTCTCGGGGAGGAGCTCAGATGCAGGAAGGGCTTCCGGGAGGCCCCGGTGTACCGTCTGCAGCAGCCAGGCCCAGGGAGGGCAGGGAGTTCGCTCCACAAGTGGCATCCAGGCCAACGATGACACCTGCTTTCCGGCCTTCAGGGTGACTTCCACCCTGTCCCCTGCCTTTTGGGATCTTTTATGGGGTCACCTACCCCGTGAAGACTTCCCTATCCTCCTCGAGGACACCTAAGTGCTCCCCGGTCTCTGCTCCATTCCTCTCTCTGGACCCTACTTCCCAAGCTGGGAGTGATGCCATTACCTCGGAGCTAACTCCCCCTCTTGACCCCCAATTTGACCTCATCTCAGATATATTTGCAACATCAGGGCTGGGTAGAGTGTGGTCTGGGGAGAGTCAGGCATGCCGATGTGGAAGAGGAGGCCCCCTTATCCCCCGACCTTGCAGGGCCCCGAGGACAGCGGCTGGAGTTTGCGCCCTCACGCCATCCGCCTGGGGCGGCGCAGACAGCGGCTAGCCGAGGGGCGCGTGCAGAGCCCCTTCCAGAGCTGAGGCGGGCGGCTGAGGCTCAGCCTCTTGCTCGTCTGCTGCCCCAAGAGGAAACCAGACCCCAGCCTGTGACTGTGGACCGGCCCAGCATGAATGACAGCTGAACCCAGCGTGGCCCAGCCATATGCAACCGAGAGCAGCCAAGGTCTACACCCGAGAGCAAGAAAAATCCCTGCGGGTGACCCGAGCCCCCAAGATGTGGGGACTGTTTGTCACGGAGCGTTGCTGGAGCCAAAGCTGACCCCTCCGACGGACACGCACCTGTGCCCAGAGCTGGACAGAGGCGCCCTCCTGCCGAAGGGGCGGAGTTACGGGATGAAATGGCAAAACACTCCACCCGGCAGGGCACCCACAGAGCCGGGTTTACCCCCAGCACGTACAGGGGTGGGGAGGGAGGCGACAGAGGCCGGGACCCCCGACCAGGGAGGCTGGAGCCTTGCTCCGGGGCGGAAGGCGGGAGTTTCGTCAAGGCGGCTGGCAGGCACCCTGTGTTTCCAGGACAGCCTCGACTTGAGGTACACATCGCACCATTATTAAAGTACACACAGCTGCACCATTTCGCTGACTCGTCTCTTCCTAGAGCACTTTCTTCTTCGCAAGAGGACTGAGCGGTGGGACGTGTGAAGCGGAGTCAGGCACTCAGCCCCCGCCTGGCGTTTGGGGGCTGGCGAGGGCTGTTGCTGCGGCTACGGCGGGATCACCAAGTCAGGCCCCTCGCGACAACACTCCCCGGGAGCCTGTCGGTGGGTCTGGGCACAGCCGCCGCCCGCCCCCCTGGGGGCACCTCCCAAGCTTCCTGGGTGGCCACACAGGCTGTGCTGGGTCAGAGGGGACTCTTGGGGACAGACTCACTTCAGAGGCACCAGAGGAGGCAGCGGTGGGTGGTGGGGAGGAGGCTGGGTGTTCCCGCGCAACTTAAGACAGGAACAGAATTAAGCAGATCAGAGAACAAAGATGACATTTCCAGGAGCACCTTAGCGGCTCAGCTCAGCTTGCAAGACAAGATGTGTAGAGCCTCGCGCTTCCCAGGGCCTCGAGCTTCCCCGGGGCTCCGCTCACCCGCTGGAAGGAGGGGACCCGTGCACCCTGGACCCAAATGTGTCAGCCGGCAAGGCCCTGTGCAGGGCAGAGGTGGGCGCTGGGAGTAGGGAGAGGACACTTCTGAGGGCATGGTGACCCCATCCTGCTCAGATGCGGGTCGTGCTGACGTCAGAGCCCAGCAGCAGGTGTGTGCGTGTGACTCCCACAGACGCTGGGGCATGCCTACTGTGTGCCAAGTACTGGCCCTCGGGGCCACGGCCTCAAGCACTGGGAGAAGTGGTCGGGAGGTTAGAAGCCTCGGCGCTCCTGGACTCGCCACCCCCTTGCGCTGGGATGTCCTTCCTGCTAAGGTTCCCGCTGATCATCCCCACGAGGAAGGCAGGCTCACTGCACCGGTGAGAAGCCCGAGGCTTGGAAGGGTCCAGGGCTTGGCCCACACAGCAGGAGAGTGGGGGCCTCAGTCCCCACGGTGACAGCACTGCGCTTCAGGTTCTAGCGACGCAGGCCACAGTGAGGATTGGAAGTCGTACTGAGGCTGGGGGAGGAGGGCTGGGTTGACCGGGCAGGATGGGGCACAGTGGCCCCTGAGCAGCATTCTGGGGGGTCCACGGGAGAAGGTCCCAGCTCCCGGGACTGAGTCTGAGTGACCGTGTGGACAGAGAGGACGGCAGCAAGTACATGGATGTGGACGTCTGACCCAGAGGGTCCTTGAAGGTTACAGGAAGACATGCTCGGTCTGAGATCTAGCGGCGACCACGTGGTGCCCATGGACTACCCCTGCCCGCAGGCCCACCCTCTCTGCAGCCTCTGCCTGGACCCGACCCTGTGACGGCCCCGGGGCGTCAACTGAACCAGTGCAGCCACAGAACTCCACCGGGGCAGAGGCCGGCACAGCCTCAGGCCGTGAGAACTCGGCCTCATTCATCCCACTCCCCAAGTGCCCAGGTGCCCGGGAAAGGCTTGGACCGCCCTCTCGGGTCTGCCTGTCCCCGGGTGCTCCCAGTCCCTGCCCTCCTCTGACGAACGGGTGACGACGCCAGCAGACCCCCTCGCCACGCCCGCCTCCCCGCCTCCCCATCCCGGGCGTGGGGCGGACACCCTGCCCAGGAGTCGGGCACAGAAATCCACTGAGGCAGAACGTCCGAGCCCCAGGGGACAAACACGCAGAGCTCTGGCCCCGGGCCCCTTCCTCTCGACTCTGTCCCACTGGGCCCGGCTCCATGCCCAAGTGGCCCTCACCGAGACTCATTTCTCTTTGTGAACCTTGAAGCACAACACGGAACCGGGGGTCTCGAGACCCCCAGGGAAAACCATACGTATGCCCCTGGGATTTCTGCCCACCTTCCGAGAGAATTTTCCCCAGACGGTGCTCTTGGGAAGGCCGGCTGCTCAGCTCCCGTCAGAGGCGGGCTTGCCCTCACCCCCTCCTGGAGCTCAACGGGGAGGCCTGTCTCCCAAAACTGGCACCGGCGCCTGCCTCCGGAACTTTTCAGCCTGGCTCTTGTAGACCCATTAACCCGCGGCGACCTCTAATTATGCCAACAGGAGCTGACATTTTGGCGGAGGCTGAGAATATTCAGAGCTGAAAAGGGCAGGCTGCTCGCCACCAGGCTGGGGCCACGCGGAGGGGAGAGAAGAGGCCTCCCAGCCCCCTCCCCGTGTCGGACTCCCTGGAGTTGAGGGCACGGCCCCTGCCCCAGAGCTCCCCCTCCCCAGCCTCACCTCCTCCTTACCTGTGCTGAGGCTTGTTGATATCCAGCACGCAGAGGGTGACTCTGGGTGTCCCGGGCGCCCGCCACCAGCCCCTTCCTCGGGAGCAGCCCCGACCAGGCTCTGTGGAGCTCGTCCGGGGTTGGGGTGTACGCGTGCGTGTGCCTGAGGGGGGTGGGAGTGCCTCCGGGCGCCAGGGATCAAATATTCCTGGCTGCCACCTGCTCCCAGCCCATCCCAGGGGCCAGCTGCCCGAGAGGGGGTGCGCTCTGGCCGGGCCGGGCCGCCCTCATCTGCCAGGAGCGTCAGGCGGCAGCTTTCGCTCCCCAGGCTCCCGCCGGCTGCTCTCCCAGGCTGAGGCGAGTGGTTTATTTTTAGAGCCCGGCCCTTCCCCAGACGCCAGGATCCCAGCTGAGATTTCCAGCGGCTCAAACGAGCCCATTCCTGGGCTGAGTCCTCGCTTACTGGGAATGTTCTGGAAGAGAGACGGAGCCCCTTAAAGGATGTGATTCTCAGTGTTCTCATCTGAGAAACGTGGGGCTGGACTGGGGGGTCTCCCAGACCCTCCGGCGAGGACGGCCCCTGACTCAGGAGACAGATGGAATCCGGCTTGGACAAGGTGCGTCTCCTCCCTAGGCTGCCTCGGTCTCCTCATCTAGAAGGTGACAGAGAGCAGCGAGCACCCTGCCCCAAGCTGGGCTGGGCTGGGAGAATGTGCTGGAAAGAGGATCAGCCACAAGTGTCCACTGTGTTCTCCTCAGCTGGACAGAGGTCCCTGTCCGATGTGGTCACGCTCAGAACCCCCAGGGTGTCCACTCCGTGGTGGATGTACACAGTAGGTGTTCAGTAAATGTGCGTCCTCTGAGATTCCCTATGAGTCTCCTAACTAACCTGTAGGGTCACTGGGGGTATCATTTGATAGGCGTCGATCCTGAGGTCTAGAAGGGTGAGGGGAGGGCCCGGGGCCCCTGCAAGAAGTTGGGAGCCCCAGGGTTCTCTCGGGGTGGCTGGGTTCTCGCTCCCCCATCCTGCCTCCGATCAGACAGACGTCCTCTGGCACATCCCCTTTTCCCAGTGTCAGCGAGGCTCACGCTGTCCCTGCTACTGTCCCTGCTGCCGTCCTGCTACCGTCCCACCCCACCCCCTCTGCTGTCCGCCCTACTCCCCCTCTCCGTCTCATCTGTTGACCCACTGTGCACTGGGCACTCTGGAAAGGCCATCTTTTTTGCAGACCAGATGGCTGCTGACGGGCTCCTGGGACACTCTGCCTCCCTACCCACCCGGACTTGCCGTTCCTCTGCCAGGCATGGGCTCTGCCGCAGCCGGAAGGGGAAGGCGCCGGGCCCACTGTGGACCATCAGGGTTTGCTCCTGCATTTGACTCAGCTCCTCGGCAGGGAGGTTGGCTCATCTGTGCAAGTGTTTGCTGAGTGTGCTGGAGCCAACAGCCACTCAACCTTGGCAGGGTCTGGCCTCCATAGAGCGGGGGCCAGGCTGCCCCTCACGGAGCAGACAGAGCCCTTTACTGACTTGCAGACCCAGACGGCTTGCCCGCCTCCCCCTTCGAGGAGCCACTCTTCCTTCCGCAGCCTGCCAGGCCTGTGCCCCTTCCTCCGTATGCTGGGGATGGGCTGGCCAGCCTTCCCAGAGGGCCGGGGACTGGGAATTCCTGCCTCCATCTCCCCCATCCCCCAGGGACAGGGGTTGGCTGGCAGTGCAACCGTAGCTGTGGCGGTTTCTCCTTTCCCTCCGCTCGGGACACCGATGGCAGCCCGTCCCAGGGCCTCCTCCAGCCCCCACGGGCTGCTGAGGGGATCTGGGCTCCCACTCCTTAGCCAGGACCATCCACCCCCCGGGCAGCTGACTTGGGTGCAGCCAGTGGTCCCTTCTAGGAGCCACGCCACTGGGGGAAGGGGGGAGCTCCTGCCCACCCGCACTGCCCTGTGCCGCCAGCAGCCCTGCCCCAGACCTTAGAAGCGGGTCTCCCCTGGTCCTCTCCAGGCCCAGCTTGTTCGGGGCCCCTGTCCTGGGGAGTCTGTGCTCTGTGTCCTGGGTTTGGCTCACGACGGTCTCGGCTATCAGGGTGGAAACTCCCCCAGAGCAGGAACATTGCTTGTGCTGGGCTCCAGGCACCGTAGGTTCCTCTTTGTTGGCCAAATGAACACACCCCCCGAAGGAAGGGTTCGGGGAACCGTGGCCATCCGCGCGACGTCGCACCTTGCAGCCGTCCCGGCTGTTGTCTGCACGTTGTTCAGTGTCCAGACAACGCTCCGCCGTCCGAGCTGAGTGAACACATTACAACGGGTGACTATGGAAAGACTTCAGTTTTGCCGAAGATGCGTGTTGATAGTTACAGTTCGGAGGGAAGTCACCCCCCTAGCAGAGCTCGCCACGTGCCACGGTCCCTTGCCTCCTGTGCGTGAACATTCAGCCAGCATGTGGGGGGTCACGAGCAGGTGATCTCAGGCACTGAGAACCAGGAGACGTGACAGCAGAGCAGAGGGGTGACGCGGAAAGGACAGGGCACGTGGGGAGTGAAGGGACTCCGCAGGGAGGATCTGTCCCCGTTTAGAGAAGAGGGGCCCCTTCAGTGCGTCTCCCGGGTCCGCAGCCTGACACGCTGCCAGCCTGATCTGCTTGGCTCGCTCCATGTGCTGGCAAAACTTCCCTCCCCCACTCTCAGGACTCCAGCTGCACCGAGGTCTGTGTTCCGGACTGAGCAGCTGAGAAACCCGGGGGACCGTGACCCTCCTGGGACCGAGCCCAGAGCACCCCCAACCCCACACACAGGTCCTGCCTGCCCCGCGTATGGGCATCTGGTGGGCCACCGCATTTCCCCCCCCGGGGACCCCCACCCCACCTGTCCATAGCTCTCCACCCGAGACTAATCCCGGGTTTGGGTTTCAGCCACGGGGTCTCCCTTGCCTAGAGGGCTGGGAAGTGCACCTGCTCCCAGAGGGGAGGGCCCGAGCAGAGAGAAAAGAGACAGTAACCTCTCAGCTGCTGCTGGTCTAATTCTAGCCCCATCTTGTCGCCCTGTCACTCACTGGGAAGTGCGGAGGGGGTGGGACAGAGAGAAACACAGTGAGACAAGGAGAGAGACATGCGGAAAGACATACAGATGGGAAGGGACGTTTAGGCAGAAAGAGACGGAGACAGGGAAGGAGGATGGGAGACAGGCAGAGAGAGGCACCCGAGAGAGGGGGGAGCCAGGAGGGAAGGAAGAGGGGGCAAGGAGCCCCTGAGAAGGACAACTTGCTGGGTGTCCAAGAGGAGAGAGAAAGGGGGCAGAGGGAAGCGAGATGGGCTGCCCCCTCCTCCAGGGAGCCCTCCTGGCTCCAAGGTCCCATCCCTCTCCCCCTTTCTGCCTTCTCCCTGAAATGGTATCCAGCCTCCCCTCTGGTCCCTGGCTCTGGCTTGGGGTTGCAAGTCCCTGAAGGAGGAGCTAAGACAGGGAGAGCGAGCTGCTGACCTTGCTGACACACGGGTGGGCAAGCTTCTCCTGAGGATGCTTTCGGACATGAGGCCTGGTGGCCAAGGAGTCTGGAGAGAAGGCCCCCAGCCCTGTGGATGGGACGGGGGCTGAAGGCTCTGTTCTCTGTGGCAAGCAGCCCGCAGCCGGGAGACACGGCAGACCGCCTGCAGGGCACCTGCGCCCAACGTGGACACCCTGGCCACGATGACCCCACCCTACCCGTCCCCGCACAGATGAGAAAACCGCTCCCTCTGGGGGGTCGGGCCGAGCAAGCAGGACCCTGCCTGTCATGTACATGGCCGTGTGCCAGCCGTGAACACAGAGCTTGGCACTCACCAAGTGCTCAGGGGCTGTTTGCTGCCAATCAGCTAATCCGGGGAGGGGGGCGGGGACAGACAGCCCGGGGTTCTAGAAGGAGACCCCTCTCCTGGCTCCCGGCCCACCAGCCCCGAATGGGTGGCTCCTTCCAGTTGTGGAGGGCATGGCTGGATCCCGCTGCCTTCCTCGGCAGGTGCTTCCTGCTTCCCCCGGAGCTGGGTGAGCCACGGGCCACTTGGCAAACACGTGGGCCCGGGGTTATTCTTTCTTGGGGGGATGGGGGCTGCCCTTTGCTGGCAGGAGTTACCTCCGACTGTTTCCTCTGCAGAGCTGGGCGGGAGGGGGGCTTGGTTTGAGGCTTTCCTACCCTGAGACCTGCTTTGGCGGGTTGCCATGGCCGGGTACTAACAAAGCGTTAAGACATCTCTGTTCTGGCCACACTGGCTTTTCTCCAGCATTTCGCTTTCAGCCCCGTGGAGTCCACTCTCTGCAAGTCTTGGATGGTCTTGCTCTGAGCGTGTACAGCTCAGCCCTCGGCTGTGGGTTCCTTGGGGGACCCCACGAGGATTTCTGTACCCCCCCACACCCCCGCCACCCCGCATACTGCTCTGAGACCTTGCTCTGTTGGTCCAGGTCACGTCCGCTGCCCTGGCCTCTAACAGTGTCTTCCCCATTCATGACGGCCACTGAGTTCTGCTGGGGCCCCAGGTCCCTGTGCTGTGCTCAGGAGGTCACCCCTGGAGGAGTCCCGAGGACCAAGGCCTCCCCTGGTGGGCTCTCCTCTCGAGGGTCAGGGTCTCACACCGCCGGTTGCCCACCGCCTCCCGTATATTGAGCCCAACCTCCCAACTGCTGACCGCAGAAGGGGTAGCCCGCTGCCAGATAGTTCTCTTGGCAAAATGCAGAAGTCCCAAGCAGCTTCATTCCCTCATTTTGATCATTCTTGGCCTCTGGTTTTATTCGAACCATATTCAAATTCCTTATTTGGTCTTCAGGGCTCCGCAGCCCCTACCCCCTTTCCAGATCCCTGCTTCCGCCTCTACCTTCACAAAACCCCAGCCTCAAAGACCTTCCTCTCCTCCTTCTTTCCTTCGTCCCTCTCCTCCACCAAGCTCTCTGCTGCCTCAGGGACTTTGCACTTGTCCCCCCTGCGTGTTCCCACCCCAGATCTGTGTGACTGGCTCCTCTTTGTTATTCCCGGCACAGTTTAAGATTGCCTTACGGGAGAACGCTTCCTGGACCAGCTTCTGTAACAAAACGCAACCCCCTACCTACCATGGTTTATTTTCTTTATACCACGGATCACCACCCGAAA